GCTCCTTCAACGAAGCCTGAGTCGCCTTATACCAGCCATCAGGTAGAGTCCGACTCACTTCTTCCCTCAGGGGCTCGATATACTCGGGTCTAGTAACCAAGTCAAAGAGACAGTGAGACAAGGCCATCGTGCTGGTGTGAGTAACCGCCAGTGTGACCAAGAGCAGCATGTGATGTGCCAGGGTATCCGGTGCTAAGTTCTCGTTTTTTTCCTCGCTCAGGTCCATCATCCACTGCAAGAAGTCGTTCGGCTTGGTATAGTTCGGGTCTTTAGCCTGCTGTGCCATTCTGCGTTCGTGGATCATGGGAATGAAGAGGTCTTTCGCGAAGCGTAACTGTTTCTTCATCTTCCGGACGCTGGGGAGGAAGGGCGCAAAGATGGGACGGAGGTATTTTGGGACTGGACGAAGTAGGAGAATTGTGATTCCTACGTTCACTGCGTAGCTGCTTGCGACGTTGAGCCATTCTTCGTTTTCGCGCAGGCTGTCGCCGGCCATCATGCGGGATGTTGAGAGTGCAATTAGCCGGGTGAACATCTCGCATGGGTTGATTCGAATCCAAGTGTCTGTGTTCAGTAACTATCTGTCAGTACCCGAGTGTTGGAATGTAAAACAGGTCCCACAAAGTAGCGTTCGCATATCCCACCTTCGCATTCTGGGAGAGCGGCGTCAAATGCTGCTCGTAGCTCGTCGATGACACCGGGAATGACTTGGGCTATTTGATATAGATTAATAGTCTAGTTTTGCATGTTGAGAATAAGAACACCAAATGATATCAGTACCTAGATTAGGCGTCAACTTTTTCCGTACAGTCAAAGCAGGTAAAAGAGTATCGATAATAATGTTGGTATACTGGCCCAACGCGTTCTGTAAAGTAGTATATCAGCTCCAACCTCTCAACGTAACGTAGTACAGACAAAGCTCATGGGATTACTTCATATTGGGCATGTAGAGAACTGAGTTTCGAAGGAGGAAGGTGTCTCAGTTCATCTTGATACTTCACGGGCAACACGATGACCTCTCCATCGCTGGTGAGTAGGCGAAATGGACTATCCCTGTACTAAATATTGCAGACAGATATCAGCAGGGTTGACGGATTGATTTCATGTATACTAACCTTTTTATATCCTGCACTGATCATCGAAGCAGCTTTGGGGTAGTATATCAACCGATTGATGAAATCTGGTAGATACGCATTGTACCTGATAATTGGGATATGCTTCAAACTGGAAGTTGGTCGTTGAAGTAGATAGAAGACTACAATCAACACCCCAACGAGGGGCCAGAAAGGTAGGGTCATCTTTTCCTGATGAAATCTCGATGGCTTTTACAATGGGGGAAAAGGTACTAAGATAAATGATTCTCCGGAGACTTGGATTGTCCGGAATATTAAAACCGGGGAGATTAGGGAAGTTGTTCGGTGGTAGGAACATGTAAGAAGGGCAAAGAGAGGGTGGCACAGGATATTTCGGATAGTATTAAGGAGCCTCTGTTTATTGTAGAAACAGGAGAGCGTTTGCTAGGCGACGGACAAAGGGTCCGTTTGAGGTCTCAGAGCGGAAAACTTGGAGTATATTATTCACAGGCAAAAGGCCTCTGTCTATTTCCCTTTTTGGTCTTTGCAATATACAAAACGCCTGGCTCAGATGCAAGTAGACATACACGAAACCCTCATAGAAAATCATTCAAAGCCAACCCAATCACCATCTCCCTCGTCAGCATCAACCATCTGATCATCAGGAACCTCAGCATCCTCGGTCTCCATGGCCAACAAAGCACTGCTAGTTTTCTTGTTCTCGAGAATAGGCTTCGAGAGCAGGTAGTTAAGATCGTAAAGGTTCTTTTCTGTCAACCGCTTCAGGTTTTCGCGAATATCATCGACAGCACGCTGGACGGCACGAAGCTCGGTGGCGAATGTGCCTGTGTTATCCTTGAAGTAGCGACCATGACTGCTGAACAAAGACTCGATCCACATGAGGTTGAACTCAAGATGGGGTGTTTCTTCGGCAGCATGTGCAACGAATCGGAGAAGGCGAGGTAAATAGACGGAGGGCACGGACCGAACCACATGGGGAATATCTGACGGAGGGATTGCTTCATATACGACACGGAGCAGCTTTTGTTCATTCAATCGGAAGGCCATGATAAGGGCTTTGAGGAATGTGTTCTCCTCATCCACAGCGTTGGATGTGGCGGCTTCCTTAGCAGCATCTAGAGTGGCAAGGATGCTTGACGGTGTGATTGTGATGTCCAGATCATAGGGATCAAAGATAAAGTCAGTGTCCAAACTGTAGACAAGGAGTCCTTCGGTAGAGGCTGCACAGAATGCGCGTCCAGTCGGGGCGAAATCCACAGATGTCACGCGAATCTCCGGGCGTGTGGTGCGGGCACCGGCATCACCGCGTCTCGCACCAGGAAGAGTGCTATCAACACGATCATCGTGATCAGACGCCTCACCAGTCTCGTCAATAAGAGCACGGGGACCAGCCTCAGTCATGTCACGACTGTTCAGGATCTCCTGGGTGCCATCGATAGAGGTATTGACGGAGACGGTGAACTTCTTGATCAATGACCCTGTTCCAACATCATACAAACAGATATACTTGCTGTTTCCACCGGCCAAAATGCAGCTACCGTCTGCGCTGTATGTGATTCGGTTGAAAGACTTGGTGCCTGCGGCATTGGCAGCTGTACGGCGGTCGGACACTCGGCGTCCCCCAGAGACGTCACGGCGACCGTCAACTCCTCCTTGCTGCACAGCATCTTCAACAGACCAGAATGACAGCTGACCGTCTAGCGTAGATGCAGCGACTTGTTGCCCATCTGGGCGGAAAGCCACACTGAGAATGTCTGACATGAGTTGGAGGGGTTCACTAGTCTGTGACCGACCGAAGATGCTCCAAATGCGAACTGTGTGATCCCAACTTCCACTGACAAGGTGGTTGCCATCGGCAGCGAAAGAAAGACTGGAAACAGGGCCCTCGTGGCCGGAGAGCTGGTCAAGCAATTGACCGGTCTGCACAGACCATACGTGAATGTCAAAGGAGTCCGGTGAACCGGCACAGACCACTTCTCCACTAGGGTCCACGGCCAACGAGGAGAATGACAGTCGGGATGGTGCTGTAAAGGTTCGGAAGTTACGGTAGCGAATAAGATCCCATGCACGGATGGAACCGTCCAAAGATGCTGTGAACAAGACATTTCCCTTCTTCGCGAACTGACATGCGGTCACTCCACTGGTGTGTTCCGTAAAGGTGACAATGCAGAAGCCTGACTTGACATCCCAAACCTTGATTTTACCGTCATCGGCAGCGGTAACAATTCTCTGACCGTCTGGTGAATATGCGAGGGCGTTCATAGAATCAAGATGCCCTTGTTGTTTGAGGATATATGACTCGGACTGCCATTCCCACACCAGCAGTTGACCATGCTTAGACGATCCAAATGCTAGCCACTCGCCTGATTTGTTGATTGTGACAACATCAATGTTGCTCTGGGAGACACTAGAAGAAGGTCTGTTAGTCACTGCGAAAGGGAGGGTGTCACAGATTGATGTACCTCAATTGATGGATCATATTGAACTCTGGCAGATCGTAGAGTCCGAATAGACCGTTGGAAAAGCCTACTACCAGAAGGTTTGTCTGCGCATGGAACGCAGCACAGTTGACCTTGGCGTCGTTCTGCATGAAGAAATCCTTTTTGACGATCCTCCATCGGGCGTCGGAAATATCTTCCATCGTTTCCTCGTCTTTTTTCGTAACATACTCCCAGCGGAAGAGGGCGCCATCTTGACTGACAGTGTAAATCTATATATAAGATTAGTATGGGATTTCCAGCTGAGCCAATTTCCAGTAAGTGCCTACCACTTCTTGTGTGGCATTGAAATAGGCAGCCACCACGCCCTGTCTGTGTCCCGCCAAAGTGGTGGGCTCGAAGCCTTCTTCCGGATCCATACTCCATACCCGCGCCGTCAAATCCTTAGCGGCAGTGAGCAAGAAGCGTGAATCGCTGGACCATTCCACACTTTCGATGTTGTCAAAGTGGGCAGCAAGATCCCGGTGTAGAACGAACGGGGCGAATTCAATTTCGCCATTGGTTTCGGTGCCGGGAGTAGAGGGCGTCTGCCAAATTTGCAGGCGTCTTCCTACGCCAACGGCGAAGTGTCGGCCGGACGGGGAGAATTTGAGTGCGGAGACTCGTCCTTTGAAGGAAAAGTGGTGAATGGCGATGCGCCGTTGGAAATTGGTCAAAATTGCGCGGCCATTTTCATCCACAGTCAACAGAAGATTACCCTTGGGCGAAAGATCGAGGCGGTCGATGTTTGTACGATGCGAAAAAGGCAGGGTATATGAAGTATTTCTGTAAGAGCAATTGTAAGCGGGCTGGTTTTCAAGTCACCAAGCAAAGTACCGAGCGACACATACTGTACTAGATCAAAGACCGAGACTCGATTGCCTACTGGCGAAAGCAAGCATGTACCATCGGGAGTAAAGAGAAGATTTCCTTTGCGATATACCGTCCCCAAAAGGTTGGAGAACTAAAATTGAAATTGTCAATATTAATCCTCAGATTCGACGCAAGCTGATAGTTGTAGGCGATCAAAATCCAAAGCGTAGTACATACCTTGAAGTCTGTCTTCATTTTGGCTGTCGGCGATCTCAAAGATCAAAAAATTAGAGATAATTCAACCAGCTACCGTGATAAGAGCCTTCGGATCATCCATGCTCCGAATCCGGGCCCAATCAGGACTAGCTCATCACGCTAAACCCAGATAGGCAAGGCGAGGTATACTCCAGAAAACGAAAGGAGATTCAGGGGGAAGCAGCGACGGGCAGTTCGAGAGATCCGATTTCACCGTGTTCCTCCTTTTCTCTTTTTTTTCTCCTCAGGAGTCGACTGATTTACTCTTCTCAATATCGGTACTCTACATAGGGACCTCCTTCTTCATCTTCTTTTTTGTGTTGATTCCGAATTGTTTTTAATCTCCCCCCTATAACCCACCATGTCGACCGAGACCGCCTCGCCCATTGGCATTGCCAACGTAAGCTATTCGGATGCCAGTATGCTCCTTATGATGTCCTGAAGCTAACTCGCCGTGTTTGATATAGCTCCCCAACCAGCGGTGTGTACCTTCGAGTGATCACGGTGAATACGGGGAAAGATTCTAATCAAGCTTGTATAGTCACAAGATTGTCGCGAAGCGGGGTGCAGCCTTCACTATTATGGTGTGTTCAACAGAAGGAAATGCTCCGCGCGTATTGATGCTAATGGTGCATCGATCAGGTTGCCGGAGAGTCAGGATTGGGAAAGACAACATTCATCAACACCCTCTTTTCCACGACCATTAAGAACTATGCCGATCACAAGCGCCGCCACCAGAAGCAGGTTGACCGAACTGTGGAGATTGAGATCACCAAGGCTGAGCTCGAGGAGAAGTTCTTCAAAGGTGCGACCCAAACATTCCCGTGTCGGGGGAGGAGTTTCGACTTTCGTGTTTCGAGAGCTGATGAGTTATCGATTTTCCAGTCCGCCTCACCGTCATTGATACCCCTGGATTCGGAGACTACGTGAACAACCGTGATTCATGGCAACCCATTATCGAGTTCCTGGATGACCAGCACGAGTCATACATGCTCCAGGAGCAGCAGCCCCGCCGAACCGACAAGATTGACATGCGTGTTCACGCCTGTCTGTACTTCATCCGCCCTACCGGACACACCCTGAAGCCTCTCGATATCGAGGTGATGAAGCGCCTGAGCTCCCGTGTCAACCTGATCCCCGTGGTTGCTAAGGCTGATACCCTGAGCCACGCTGATCTGGTTCGCTACAAGGATAGAGTGAGTGGAACAAGTGTACAGGGGAGGAGGATATCTGGACTAACAATTGATTAGATCCGCGCTGTGATCGAAGCCCAGGGCATCAAGATTTACACCCCGCCCGTGGAGGAGGACGACGAGCACGCTGCTTCCCACGCCCGCAGCCTTATGGCTGCCATGCCTTTCGCCGTCATCGGTTCCGAGAAGGACGTCAAGGCTAACGATGGTCGTGTTGTTAAGGGTCGTCAGTACGCTTGGGGTGTCGCCGAGGTGGAGAACGAGGACCACTGCGACTTCAAGAAGCTCCGCTCGATCCTGATCCGCACCCACATGCTCGACCTTATTCACACCACGGAAGAATCGCATTACGAGGCCTACCGTGCCCAGCAGATGGAGACCCGCAAGTTTGGCGAGGCCCGGCCACGCAAACTCGACAACCCCAAGTTCAAGGAGGAAGAGGAGACTTTGCGCAAGCGCTTCACCGAGCAAGTCAAGGTCGAGGAGCAGCGTTTCCGCCAGTGGGAGCAGAAGCTTATCTCAGAGCGCGACCGCCTCAACAAAGATCTCGAGGCCACTCATGCAGCGTACGTTCCAAAGTATTGTCCAGATGAACTCATTGCTAATCGATCGCAGTATCAAATCCCTCGAGCAGGAGATCGAGAGTCTACAGGGTTCCGGCACCCGCAGCCACGGACGTCGTTAAGATGCAATTTTACCGGGAGTCGACCCGGATCGTTCAAAAGGGGAGTCGAACCATGCTCTTGTTTTTTGTTCTCTTTTGAGTACCCTATGTCTTGCTGTTCGCGCTTGGAAGCACCTTTATCTGAGGGCTTGGTTCGTTTTGTTTGTTATATCCATTTACCGCTGGTAGCTAGCGATGGTGTGTCTACAACCTTGATAATAACTTCTTCTGTATTCCGTATGAAATACAGAATTAATTCTTTTGGGCTTAGATCCGAAGTAAAGTAGTAATATTGGTTTGTTTTACTCCCGGCATCATTGAGGACTTCAGAGTTGAAGCTCCGAGCTCCATCCCGCATCCTCTGAACTCCAATTCCTCCTCCCCACCTCAACTCGACGGCCATGCCCCGGACAATATTCCCAACCAGGCATATCCACACTCTAAAAACACATAATGGTAAGCTTGAGACACCCAGATGCTCTCCTGATTCTAAATATCCTCCAAATCACAAGCGCTAACATCCTCCAGGCCCCGTCAACGCGGTAACCTTCTCAAGCTCCGGCGGCACCTATGTCCTCACAGGCTCCTCAGACCGAGCAGTACACCTTTCGCGCGCCATTCCAAACAACTCCGATAACATAACAGCAGTTGAAACCACATCCCCGATCCAAAAATACGAAGCGCATGGCTACTCGGTCCTGGACATCGCCGTGTCATCCGACAACGCGCGCTTCGCCAGCGTAGGAGGCGATCGACAAGTCTTCCTCTGGGATGTGGAACAAGGCATCACGACCAAACGCTGGTCAGGCCACAACAGCCGGGTCGAAGCCGTGCAATTCGCCGGCGATGGCGACTCGGTCGTGGTAACGGGTAAGCCCATCAGATTCCCCTACTCTTTTCTTCCGAGCAATCCAAATCTAACCTCCCCTCAGGTAGTGCAGACACAACAATCAACCTCTGGGATACCCGATCCACAAGTTACAAGCCCATCCAAACCCTCACCGAAGCAACAGACACAGTCTCATCACTACACGTGCATATGGGGACTTACTCGATAGCAAGCGGGAGCTACGACGGCCACGCACGGATCTACGACGTTCGCACGGGAAAGACGACTGTCGATGTTCTCGCGCACCCTGTGACGAGCGTGCGCTGTTCAAGCGACGGGAACGCACTGCTCGCTTCGACGCTGGATGGGTATATCCGCATGCTGGACCGGATGGATGGGAAGCTTCTCAATGCGTTTGGGGGAGAAGAGTGTGCGTAGTGGGGTTGGGAAGCCGGGGCATTCGTATCGGAATTCGGAGCTGCGTGTTCGCTCTGTTTTTGCGATGGGGGATGCGGTTGTGCTTAGTGGGAGTGAGGAGGGAGGGACAGATGGGACGGCAGGGGCGGCGGCGTTTGCTTGGGATGTTCTTAAAGGGGAGGTTATAGCTGCTGTGCCTGTTGGGGAGAAGGTTAAGGCTGTTAGTTGTGTGGCGTGGAATGAGGGTGTTGGTGATTGGGCTGCTGGATGCTCTGATGGTAAGAATAATATTTTATGGGTTTGGGTTGAGATTGTGCTAATTGTTGTTTTCAGGTACCGTCAGAGTCTATGGATGATGGGGCTTGATCCAATCGAAGACAAGCTATCATGGCGGAGCGACTTGCCCTCGCGTCGACATCAATACCCCGGCTATGGAATGACCACGCGCTACTTATGCCATCGCTGGCGAAACAAGGACGCAGTGCGGAATGATGTATGTGCTACTAATAAGGTCTGCGGCGGCCTCACTACGCTCTACCGACTTCCATTCGATGTGACACTCCAATCGACTTGGCGACGGGCTTCTCCCATCTGCAAGGGCAGTGCAGCCATTTTGTGCAAGGCTAAGGCGAAGATAGGTATATCTCACAGGTACCACTACATGGAGGTTGGCCTGGGATCATCAGAGATGTTTACGGGGGCATTGGGCCGTTATATAAGCCCAGCACTATCTTCAATATTGAGATAATAGATCAAACAACCTTGGAAGTGCCTTGATACTTTTCTGAGCATCAAGGCTACAACCTATTCTGAGTTACATGAGATCTTTCACGCCTCCACGCTGAAATCGTCCTTGGACTGTTCGAGGTAGAAATCCATGCCATTCTCAACCTTTATACGTACATGAAGTATTTCTAAGCCTCATCAAGCATCCGAGTGTGGCTCCCACCCGGCTTCAGCCATCTCAAACGACTCAAACAAGAAAGCCGGAGCCACCGTACATCCCACAAGGGTCCAATCACCTAAACTTTTCGCATGCTGCCACTCTCCACGTTCAACAATAGCCTGTGGTCGTTGACCCTGTAAAGATTAAGCGCCAATCCAAGCACAAAACAGGCTATAAATCCATGTATACAAGAACTCACCTTTCCAAGATCAATTCCCAAAATGGTATCCCGGACGGGTTTCCCATCATTCCAGGAAAGTGATAGTTGCATAGGAGCACCAGCGTAATAATGCCATACCTCAGTACCATCTAAAACACGGTGCCATTGCGAAAGACCGGCTTTTCCTTCGAGAAGGTAGTAAATACAGGTGCTATGTGAGCGATCATTTGTCGAATGGCGGTCGCGGAAGGTCTCGATGTAGTATCCCTTTTCGGGATGTGGAGAGAGATTTAAGGTGTTGATGATGTCTTGGGCGGAAATATTCTCCGGCATCTTGGAAATGTTCTCCGTCTGGGAAAGGGAAGATGTGAGGTTGAGTGGAATAAAAGGGAAGATTATGAAATTTTTTACTATTTCTCGTACCCACAATGACTCAGAGTGAGATTGTTACAGGTGTCAGCTTTGGTCTCTACATGGCGTAATACATTTAATATACCGAGCAATGTAAGAGTAATCAGCTGGATGGGGATGTAGATGTCACGAAGGGCAAGTCAAAGCCGACAATCCACGTCAGGTCTAAGCTATGTAATCTGTCGACGCAAGGTGGTTCGGTATGAGATATTATAGGTGTATCTATCGACTCTCGGTTCCCCGGTCAATAAATATACCATCTTCCGAATATGTCCTAGTTGGAAGTTCTCAATCAAGACCCGGGCATGAGACATGAACTCGCGTCTTGGTCTGACCTTCCCCGATTGTCAATGTGAAACCACCCCTAGACCCAGAAATCGATGATAATCGATGTTGTGTGGGCTTCCGCATTCGTCACAGTTCGTCACTGATAGTTTCACGACATCACCGATGCGAGATCGGAACGGGCCAGGGACGTTGAAAGTCCATTGTTCGTACTTGTACTATTGAATTGTTTCATTTCGGTGGAAGTTGATAATGGAGTTGGAGGTAAATTCGAGTTGTAGACGTTTCATGCAGATGTGAGGATAGGTTCCTTCGGGTGCCGGAACAAGTCTCTGTGTGATTTGCAGAGGTGAGGACTGGATATGGAAAAAATATGACTGTGTTTCTCAGATATTGCCTGGATGGAACGAATTCCTCTTACATTTTTTATTCTCATGGTTTTCATTTTGCTCATCTCATGACGTTGGCATGATGCCCTATATATCGTTCTAGATATATCTTTCTAGATATATCACGCAAATGCCCAACAAGTGGGTTTAACGCGTCTCCAGTGATACAACTCGTATGTCGAAGCCGACAAACTTATGAAATCCATAGATATCCATAGAGGGAATGATGCACTCAAAAAGTCATGAGATAGAATAAAATATACAAGTATTAAAACAAGCCCGAAACAAAAACTTTTCGATACCCAGGCACCACATAAGCACATAGACACATGAACACATATACACATCAAAAGAAGTCATATCAAACCAGTCACCCTAAATCTCCAAAGCCCAAACCACCCTCAACCACACTGCAGACTATCAGACAAACCCTACGAGTCCAACCGAATCCCCCCAAGTTTAGGCGACTGCATCTTCTCCTCCTCAAGAGCATCAATCGCCCTCTTAAGCTCATCCTCACCAACAATAATCGTACCCGCGCGCGCCGTACTCAAGAAACTAATCTCGACCGCACCCGCGACATCCACATCAGGCTGGAGATGATGCGTGGATGATGGCAAGGGATGTAATCCATGGGAGGGCGCAGAGGTCGAGGTAAGATGTGATTTATCGATTCCAAGAGCGGCCAGCCGTGTCCCGAAAGAATCAAAAAATTGAGGCACGGATCCGACAATACCACTAGCACCACTTCCGACGCTTGAATCCGAGAAAGTGTGATGAGAAGTGGTAGCTGCGTCAGCGAGACGACCTGCGACGCCGCAGACGATACCGGATGCTTCGAGGGGCAGGTCGCGGAGATCTAGGGTGATTGGGATGAGATGGTCTTCTTTTGAGCCTAGGAGGAGACCGGAGCCGTCTTCGTAGGATTTTGATCCGGAGGAAGATGAATGGCGTGCGAAGCGGGGGAGGAGACGCTTCTCTATGAGGAGGGAGGCTGCTGGATCGAGGGATGCGAGGGTTAAGGAAAGAAAGCGGGGTTCATCGATGAGGAGGACTGTTGTTAGGGCGTCGCGGAGGATGGACATTGATGATTCTTGGGTGTGGTATTCGTGGTGGGCGGCGCATTGGACTAGACGCAGGGAGTGATCTACGGATGGGGTGATTTGGTGTTTGCGGAGATTGTTGAAGGTGCGGGTTTGAAGCTCGGCTAGAGTTGAGGGGGGAGGTGTTCCTGGGGGAATGAGGTCGCTGAGTCTTCTTTCGATGGTTGGGCTGAGGGGGTTTGTGATGAAGGCTGAGGTGTTGTCGAATTGGAAGCCTCTTTTTTCTAGCGCGGTCATTACGCTTGCTTTGCTTTTTTTGCGGGACTACTATGTAGTCGGAGAAGTAGGTTGAGATGAAGAAGATGGAGCTATAAGGAGGTCAGCTAGGTGTTGCTTTTCTCGTATAGATGGGAAAGATAGTGGGGTTCACATACATTCCTGCGAGGGCCAGTGGACTGGTCAATTCCAAGACCCGCTTGCCGGCCTCTAGGCCTTGACCGAGGACTTGCATGGCAATGTAGTCATTTTCGCTCACGACTAGACGTGAGCGGAGGGAGACATCCAACTGATCGAGTTGGTCCAAGACCGGGGCAAAATATTTGTCGACCAGACGTCTTGGACACATGACCGAGACTTCGACTGGAGTGATGGAGACATTCATCAATGCGGGTGGCTTGTAGCCATGCTCCGAAACATGTTCGAAATCATCAAATGCAGCATCGTCATCTGTCTCGTCTTCCAGTGGTGGGATTTCATCAAAGATGAGTCTTATGACAGACTTTACGAAGTAGGGGTACAGCTCCAGCGGGATGTGTACCAGCACAATACGTTCCTCCTGACATTTGGTTAGTAGGTGTTGCCAGTTGCTCTAGGTGGGTACCTAGGTAGAATGACTCACTAGGAAGTGAACTTGCGCATCGATGAGAGCCATTGATTGATCCATGAGTCCTTGTAGAGAGAGGGAGAGAGAGAGAAGATGTGAGTCGGATCAAGGTTGACTATTACGCCATCGAAGTTCAATGATGCTATTTGAAGTGAACAAGCGCCATCCACGTATGTCGTCAAAGGTATTAAATATTGGGAAATTTGATGTGCAAGGATATTCTTTCAAAAAAAAGGTGAAGCGAAGACTCATGTGGACAACCCCTCCTTCTATTTTTTTTCCCCTACAGCTTTTTGCCTATAAATTTCTTCGCACTTATCTCTTCTCTACCAAAGTGACTAAATCCGTGTATTTTTGACTCCACAGCTTATCAGAAGCGTCCTTAGCGCTTTTGGTGTACCTTGTTCCTGGGCTTTTGTGGGGGTGGCCACTTAGCTCTCTTTTCTGGGCCGAGGTTTTCCGTCTCGGACTTTCTATCATTTCTGCAGCGTCATTGGCAGAGGGTATAGTATCATATATGTATATGGCTTAGGCCGACATGCAGATTTATATGATTTGTCCATGTCTATACTTCAGCCATCGACTAAAGTGCAAATCCCCCGCTTTTCCGGGAAGATAACAAATCTGCTTTGGCCTCTTATTTCCTCTTTTTTTTTTCTTTTTGCCGCTGTAGCAGATCGAAAGAAATTTCAGTGCAACGTCACACGACGGGATTCTTATCAGGGAGTACTTAGAATAGTATATCGAAAAATTTATAGGGGACTGTGGTGACTTTCTTCACTATATGATTGTCGTATGACTTACAGGGTGGACTTAGGGTTTTGGTCGATCACGCTCCGCAATCTATGTGGCCTGAAGAAGATATCTCCAACATATTATGATGCACAATCATGATATTCTGTGTTATATTGAGTAGCATAATGAAAGCGTATACTCTGTTCATTCTGTTTACTCGGAACAGCTAAGCCTTTCGTCCTCGAGTATGTTCCCCCTTGCATGACAGTCCAGGAACCAGGGCCTAGCTAGGTGAATTATCTGCATTCCGCCCTTCGGAGCCCACCTAGGGCATTCTTCAATAACAAAACAAGGCAGCTCAAAGCCTGAACTCGATAATGCTCGACTCTCTGCCCTGTAATCCCACACCCGGAAGTTCATGAATGAAGGCACGACCAATTACACTCTTGCGAACCTCAAAATACGATCTGACCCGGCCAGCATACCCAGGCCCCTGCAGATCGACACAACCACCTTTGTTATTTTTTTTCTCGCCATGGTTAAAGAGGCCCGGTTTCCAGATTCCTTCCTCTGACATCCATCACAGCGGCCGACTCGCGCTGATTTCGACAACCGCGCGCTTTTACATTCGTTTTTGCTTTCTAGTCGATTCAGCCTCGAATACAATCTTTCGGAGGATTTTATTACCCTTCTGAATCGGGCTGTCAATCGTTTTCGCTCGTTAAATTCTGCAATGGCAAAGTTTAGTTTGTTGGCGCTGGCCACTTGCGTTGGCCTGGCCGCAGCCAAGGACGTCTACCTGAACTGGAACGTCACCTGGGTTAATGCCTCCCCCGATGGGTTTGAGCGTCCAGTCATTGGTATCAATGGTCAATGGCCCTGCCCACAAATTGATGTGAACGTGGGCGACCAGCTGATCGTCGATGTTTACAACGGCCTTGGAAATGAGTCCACGGGTATCCACTGGCACGGTATCCGTCAGGAGGGCAGTGGTGTTATGGATGGCGCGGTTGGAGTTACCCAGTGCCCTCTTGCTCCCGGCCAGCACATGCAATATCACTTCGATGTAAGTGATCACCAGTGCGAGGAGACGAATACATCCTAATTGCAGTATAGATCAACCAAACTGGAACATACTGGTATCACTCGCACAACATGGGCCAGTACCCCGATGGATTCCGTGGTGCTCTAATTGTCCACGACCCCAGTCCTCCGTTCCACTACGACGATGAGTTCACCCTCACTCTGAGCGACTGGTACCACCAGCAGATGCCGGATTTGCTCAACACCTATCAGTCCACAGAGAATGCGAAAAACCATGGCGCCGAGCCTCTCCCTGATGCGTCACTGATCAACGACTCAACCAACACCAAGATCAAGGTTTTGCCTAACAAGACGTACCTCGTCCATATCATCTGTGTTGGAAACTGGCCCGGTCATTTCTGGGTGATTGATGGCCACGAGATGACGGTTGTAGAGGTCGACGGCGTCTATACCGAACCCCACCCTGCTGGAGACAAGTTCCTGCGTGTTGCAACTGGTCAGCGTATGAGTGTATTGATCAAAACTAAGTCTGACACGAGCAAGAACTTTGCCATCTGGGATACCATGGACATCAACATGATGTTCATCTTCGAAAACCGCACTATCCCAGAGAACTACAACCCCAACGCCACTGCCTGGTTGGTGTACGATGAGGCAAAGCCCCTACCCGCGCCTCCCGTCTTCCACCACATCGACTTCAACGATGACTTTGTGGATGATGTCAACCTGGTACCGGCAGATCACGAGCCCTTGCTTGAGCCCGTGGACCACCAGATCATCATGGACACTGGAATCGCCCTGGTTGATGGTGTCCCGCGCCTGACTGTCAATAACAAGACCTACATCGCGCCGAAGGTACCCTCTCTCTACACTGCCAACACAGTCGGAGCCGAGTTCTCCTCCAACCCCGAAGTATACGGTCAAGTGAACCCCTTCGTTGTGAAGCACAATGACGTCGTCGAAATCGTGATCAACAACCACCACAACAACCTGCACCCATGGCACTTGCACGGCCACCACTTCCAAGTCCTGCAGCGTACTCCAGTTGACGGTGGCTTCTACACGGGACTCCAGAGCACCGTCTCCAAAACCCCAATCCGACGCGACACCATCATGGTCCAGAACAATGGCCACACCGTCATCCGCTTCCGCGCTGATAACCCAGGCGTCTGGATGCTTCACTGCCACATCGAGTGGCACGTCGAGGCTGGTCTCATGGCCACCATCATCGAGGCACCCGAGACCTTCCCAAATAGCATCCACGCTCCCCCGAAGAGCCACTACGACGCCTGCAGCAGCTATCCCCAGCAAACTAGCGGCAATGCCGCTGGAAAGCAGGGTCTCGACCTGACTGGGCTCGACACTAAGGTTGTCAACGGTAGCCACGGCGCTCTGTATACCGGTAAAAAGAGCACCAAAGTTTCCACTTCTGGTCCAGCTCATGTATCGGCAGAAGCGGCGGAGCCAAGTTCCTCCTCCACTAAGCTATTCTCATCAGCTTTCTCGAAGGAATCTCGTCCCAAGTTCCCATTCTCTAACAAGAAGTCGGACAGCGATGACGACGACAGCAAGAGTTCCTGGCCTTTCAATAATAGTGATCTTTTCGCGGATGAGGATCAGGAGTGATACGACTATGTCTGAGATGATGAGTTTTTCCAGAGGTTTTCAAATGCTTGTATATTAGTCTTCTTTTACTTCTCATGTCTAATTGACATAAAAGTCATTGACACTAATTAATTCAAAGCCTCTTTTCGATACTTTCCTTCCATGTTTATGACGTACACAACATAGATGTCTCTTCAACTTCCTACCATGGATGCCACCCACTCTTTTTGACAAATCTCATCAACTCAACCATGCTATACGTCTAAATGGTAAGAAACGGCAGATATATCTTCATTCCCGATAATAACCGCAAAGTCAGCCCTGGTTCAGCACGTGGGAAGAACAGCTCCGTTTCCTAATCGAGTAGGAGTCTAATCATCACATCCTGACGACCTCACCCACATAGCCCGACTCTATTTTCACAATAAATCCCCCATACTACCTCTTAGCATTCACCACAAACATCCCCTATTTCCTCATACAAGAAAACAGCCTATCAAAATGTCAACCAATCTCTTCTGCTGCACAACCCTCCAAACAACCACCCTCCCAGACCCCGAACACGAGCAAACATTCACCGAATTCACCAAATGGGCCCTCACAACAATCAACAACCTAAAAGGATCCACAGATCCCTCCGAAGCCAGCGTCTGCATCCAGCTCGTACGACAAGTCATCAACGGTCCGATAGAATCTATCCGGTATTTCATCGCAAGTGACAAACATGGGAATTTCGAAGAAGTCACGGAAGATGACATTCTAGCTACGAATTTTATCAAGATGAACGAGTGAGGTCCCTCATCCAAACACTGGATTTTTATAAATTTATCATTATTTATTCCCGTCCTCGGCCTTATCGTCCCAGTCTCATATATTGACCATGTCATAGATGTAAAAGCTTCCAATGCAGACAACACAACTGGGCCTTCGATCTTAACCTTTACGAGCCGAGTACGGGGAGTACACGGCATTGGCGCTCTATCGCAAAACCGCTTAAGCAGATTGAGAATGCATTGAAGAATAAGATGTCCGGATCTGGATCTGGGTCACAGTCAGTGTCAGGGTCGAGATCTAGTTTGAGGTCTATGATGGGATATCATGGGTCTGGTGGGGGATATAGAGGCGCAAGCTATGGGTATGGGTCAGGGATGGGATATGGATCTGGATGGGGATCTCATTTGGGGGCTGGGTGTGGGCCGAATTGGGGGACGGGTTCGACGGTTCTTGTGCCGGAGGAAATTACTACTGTTGTGACTGGGTGTCAAGACTCTGATTGTGGGTTAAATCGAAATCAGGATCAGAGTCCGAAGCAGGACTACAAGCAAGAGCAGGATCAGGATCAAGACCGATATCCTGGGATATCTCTACCTGCCGATGAGACTGAATTCGACGAAAGCAGTGAACAAGACCAGCCTGGTCCGTCTTCGTCTATTTTTAGTAATGAGGTAACTGAAGATGAAGATACAGGGTCATACTCAGCTCTTCTGGACAGCCAGCTATCTTCCAGCGAAGTTGGGGCGAGCCAGAGCTACCTGGACGTCGAGGACTATGGGTGTTATTATTCTGGGGCGTCTTCTGATGATTATGGCATCTATGACTGCGGTGGAGGGGCCAATGCTGTGTCGTATGAATGTGGTGACTATGAAGATTTTGGAGGTTGTGGAGGTTGCGAATATGAATAGTTATGTGAGATGTTTTGCTATATTGCTGTTTTTTAGCTCTTCATAAACGAGTTTCCAATTTCTGTTGGCTTGGAAGCTGAGATGGAAAGACAGGTGGAATGAAAATTCAGTGTTGATACACTAGGTATCATTGCTTTGCTCTAGTAGATCTAGAGGAAGATGAGAAGTCAAGAGGTCTTGTAGCCTAACCTGCACACAGAGACATCGTACGCTCTAAGAATCAACCCGCCATTAGCTATCCAGTCCGTGCACCTTGCAACCTTGCATCCTCTTATAAAAGAGAATCTGTCCACTTCCAACTCTTTCCTCTCCCCTCCTATCACTCAAATCAACCCGACGAAAGTTTCTACACCCAATGGAAAAAATACACCAAACCGTATCCGATGCCCTCAAAACGCACCGTTCAATCCGAATCCTAGGCGACCTACCCACCGAAGAATTGAATAGTGAAGACTACCTAGCCTCAACTCGCTCATTAATCGAAAGTTTTGTCGATTATTGGAACGAAAAAGAGAACTTACGACTTTTAGCGGTGGAGGTCTGGCCACGACACACCTACTTCGCGCTCGACTTCAATAACGACGAGTACGACTATGATAACGCCCACCTTCAGGTGATTGTCCTACCTGTCTATCTACTCCGGCTATCTAAGAAAAGCCATACTTGGACAATCTTTCGACATAAACCCCAGGACTCGTCTCTGGCTAGAAGAATTGCAAGCCTTCATGATGGAAATGGGCAGAATCCAATCCCTTTCCTTGATGATCATATTAAAGGCGTGATAAATTATGGTCCGAGAAGTAGCAAAGTTGCGCTTGATGCCTCTAGGAATTCTACGTGAAGGACGACGGACTATCTCGTTAAGACATCTATGCTTTCTTGAATATTTGGCATTACTGCGACGAGATAGCAAGAACAGGATATTATGGAGCATTGGGGGCAAGTGTCGACAACTTTGTACCCACATGGGCACATGTATGTTAACCTAGAGTAGAATCAAATGTCGCCTAGATCCAGATCAAACCATTCCAACGAAGGCTGGGCAGTGAACAAGTCCCACATCAGACTTTCATCTGTATGTTCCAGACTTTCATGCGGTAATGTGTTGTCGACCGACCCATCGTGTCCGATACTCCATGGCTTCTCCGAACCGACATGTTGCATTAACGGGCCACATAAACCGAGGAACATGTTGAAAAGACTATGAACTTTGTGAATCCATTTGTTTGCGTGTACAAACCGAGATAACCCTCTCGTGATATCTTGCATCAAGCCAAAGTCTTTGTAATGAGACGATGAGACGACATTGCAGAAAAGCACAAAGAAAGGAGTCAGCGGGTACAATAAAACCGTCCTGCTTTAGTTAGTTTAAAGAAATTTCAGAAGTTGACGGCGACACACCAGGATAAAAATGAAGGATACGGCTCTACCGTGTCTAGATCCAAGCCAGCGGGATGTAACATGGAGTTCAAGCTGCTGAGAGCTTTTCGTGCAAAGTCAAGGCATTCATGATGAGAAAATGAGGTGTATGCCGGCCGACTGTATTTGAGAATACTAGTCATCATGGCGAAATATCCGAACTCTGCGGCGTCGAATTCATTCTGAAGCTCTTCAGGCATAGTCAATCGAGTCTTTACAGTCAGTAACTCGACATATCAACTAAACAAATGCACAAACTTACTTCTTTGATATGAGTAAATAGAGAGTCGGCTTTCTGAATGAGAGAATCAACTTGGGATATATCCACCGCTCCTTTCTCTGCACGGCTGATCTGCATGTCCAGTATACTCTCTTGAACCTTCGCCATCTCGACCATTACCTTCACAGTCTTCTGAAGTGGATTTGCAGAATCCAGGGGAATCAACGAGACAGGGTCAAAATACAACTTGGGAAGCGAGGGCTGTCGTGCGAAAAGAGCACTCAGGACCTTGTCAAGATAGTAGCACCAGTAAAGACATAGATCAAAATCTTCGACCAGTTCTGTTCGTAGTAGTCGTCTGGCTTCCACGGTGTGGCTGTTAAGAGACACGAGCACGCGGGCTGCGAAAGCTGTTAGCGACCAGCTTCGCGAGACGTTTCCGATATATTGCATTAGCATTGCCTGTCAGATTAGTGTCTTTGTCCCATTCTCGGGAATTAATTGATATACTCACCCCAGACAGCAGAGCTTGAACAAGTGAAAGGCTGGGAGGTGAGAGAAAATGAACACGACACAGTGCGGCCAGTGCGATAGCCTTGTATTGTCGCTGTGACTTTTCCAGTCGTCCAATGACCGCAGGGCTGTGGTAGATCTGGGACCATTTGAGAGCAGAGAAAAACACTTTTGTGTAAACGCATACCCGATAATGCAGTCGAAGATGTTCGTCGCCCCCATTCTCTACCAAGCAAAGAATCATGTTCTCCAAAGTCGAACTCGAGATATGATCTGGCCAATGGAGGTGCTTATAATCGCCCTCATTCCCGGTCATTCCTGTTCAATAATCTCAGTGATTGAATTTATGTGTACCGATGGGTGGAGATTCACCAGGCAACATCATGTACAGTAGTTCTGGGGGCGATGGCTCTGATCCAGTGACTTCATCAGTGATCGTAGTCTCCAAATCAAGATGCGTAGAAGATGAGGTCTGATAAGACATCTGTTTGACGAGTTCCAAGGCTGTGTGAAGCACGCCCATCCTGTCCTGAGTCACATGGCCGTTCTGTTCGAGCTCTTGTTGGATAAGCTGATGTGCTTCTGTGGCGCGGTGAGCTGACTCGTCTGGAGTAGCCACCACGGAAGTCTCTCCTATTGATCCTGGAGGCCAATCATTTTGTTTGTGTCTTTTTGCTTTAGCGTCCTCCGCTCTTATTTCATCATGTTCGGGGCTTAGCTCTGACTCTCTGATATCTTGTTAACCGCAGCAGTAGCCGTCAAAAAGAACATGAACAACTTACTCTTCGGCATGATGAGCAGAACTCTCTAATTTATCTAGACGTCGCTTGAGAGCATCAATCCTTGCAATGTTATTAGACGTAGTTATCTTTTGCTGAGTAACAACATACCGCGATGATCGAGCATAGGATGTTCTTTGAAGGCGACTTCTGCGACATTCTACCTTGGCAATAGAACAATTTTTGCATCTTAATTCACGATCACCTTTGACCTTGACGGGTCAATACAAGGCATAGTATTTATTTTTTTTTCGGAGCAAAGCAGAGAATCAAGTACCTTCCTTGAGTAACACAGGTCACACTGCAGCATGTTAGTTCGAACGACTTAGACTGTGTAGTAACATACTGCTTGTCGGAGTGTATTTTTAGCTCGAGACCCAATCATATCGACTGTGAAAATGAATTAGATAAACCAGAAGTGCTCGAAGATCCCCTTGGATGCTCGGAGGTCGGACGGAACACGCCCGAATGTCCCGAATTCGGACATTAGTCATCTATAACAACCAGTGGACATGGATGGAGATTCCATATGCCAAGGTATAGTGAATTGAGATTGTATAACAGTTCTCAGTTCTATATCTGACGGTCTTTCAGACCGAGAAGTTGTCTAGATTGGTTGTGGATGTAAGTATATGGTAAACTAATGTACTACATACCAACATTCAAAGAGCAGGGGCTTAGAGAGGATACACTAATGAGAGTCTATTTCAACAATAGAGCAAGTCTACTTAGTCTCGGATCCAGTTATATATCGACCAGTCACCGTCTGCTGATTTATCCACACGACTCGGAGATTCTGTATAATTTCCTCATCCTCGGATTTCGGGTGCGATAGTGATCCGAGATGCCCTACAGCCTTGAAAAGGGGTGTGTACTGTCTAGAAATCTATAAACAGCGATAGATCTGATAGAAAAAAATAATTTTCTTCATTTACCACCGATTATTGTTCGTTAGAAGTCGAGTCACTCTCAAATTATAAAAATCATGGACAACGAAGAAAAGCAGCCATCAGCTGCCAAGCTGACTTTCGTTATATTGGCCCTATGCTTGGCTGTGTTCTGCATGGCGTTGGTGAATCTCTCTTCCATATAACCCAGTTTGCGGTTGTATACTAATAATATAGGATAACACAATCATCGCCACAGCTATCCCTCACATCACGGAACAATTCCACGCCCTCGACGACGTAGGCTGGTATGGAAGTGCATACCTCCTCACGACCTGCTCTATGCAGCTTGTCTTCGGAAAGCTGTACACATTCTACCACGTCAAATGGGTGTTTCTATCCGCGCTGGCTATATTTGAACTAGGATCCCTTATTTGTGGCGTCACTCCAAACTCGCTGGGTCTTATTCTTGGCCGTGCAATTGCAGGAATTGGAGGAGCGGGCTTATTCTCTGGTGCAATTCTGATTATCTCGCATACCGTGCCACTTAAGAAAAGGCCTATATATACTGGGTTGGTGGGGGGAATGTATGGAATTGCTAGTGTCGCTGGGCCATTGTATGTCCCTTAGACTGTGATATCAGCCGACGTGTACTGATTGCTTATAGGATGGGCGGCGCATTCACTGATCATGTCTCATGGCGATGGTGTTTCTATATTAATCTCCCTTTTGGGGCTGTTACATTCGTCTTTGTGATGCTTTGCTACCAGTCACCTCCCAGAACCCAGCCCACCCATACTTTTGCTGAGCAGATTAAAGAGTTTGACATTATCGGAACGCTCTTCTTCATCCCATCAATCGTCTGCCTGCTGTTAGCCCTACAGTGGGGAGGTTCCACATACCTTTGGAGCAATGGCAGAGTAATTGCCTTGCTTGTGCTCTTCGCGGTCTTTATGGTGGTTTTCATAGGTGTGCAGGTTTGGCGACAAGAAAATGCCACCCTGCCTCCCCGAGTCTTCTCTCAACGCGACGTATGGGGAAGTTCGGCCTTCACATTTGGTTTAGGTGCCTCTTTCTTTGTTTTGGTCTACTATGTGAGTTTTCTTCAGTCAGTTGACAGTCATCTCACATCATACTGATCAAAAAGCTCCCGATTTGGTTTCAAGCGACAAAAGGCGCCTCTGCAATGGAATCGGGTATCAGGAATCTCCCTCTTCTTCTAGCCCAGGTTATCTTCTCAATCGTTGCCGGAGTCTTAGTCACCACCATTGGCTACTACGCTCCTTTCATGATCCTCTCTTCTGTTCTCATGGCAATCGGCGCTGGTCTTCTGTCTACATTCCAGCCGGAGACAAGTTCCGGCAAATGGATTGGATACCAGATTATCTTCGGGGCTGGAGTGGGTGTTGGAATGCAACAAGCCTTGATCGCTGTCCAAAATTCTCTTCCCCCGAAAGATATACCCATCGCGACAGCTACGGTTATGTTCTCGCAGACCTTGGGCGGGGCGGTCTTTATCTCCGTGGCACAGAATATCTTCACAAATGAGCTCGCGAAACATTTGGTTCATATTCCTGGGGTGGACCCCACCAGGGTAGTTGATCTTGGGGCCACAGCCTTGCAGAATTCAATTTCCAGGGGTTTGCTACCGGCTGTAATAGCAGCATACAACAGTGGCTTGGTAAATGCATTCTACGTGTCAGTGGCAATGGGGGCTCTTTCTGTGGTAGGAGCTTGTTCAGTTCAGTGGAAGTCAGTCAAAAAATGAGCTAAATCGATACACTGTTATTGATTCGCCGGATAGGCTGGCGTCTAGGAAATTTGTGCCTGTCGATCATTACAGGGAACTCATGGGCCCCTGTGTGCTCTAGATATTGGGGTTACGGGCCAGAGAGAGAAGATGGATAGGTTTAATTCAAGCATGTGTTCAAGAACAGGAAAATTTATAGATAAAATGATAAACAAAAACAATTTGATTTCTCCTTTCTACCTAATCCCTGATGACATACGAACGATATTTTGTGCAGACAAAACCATTTTGGCGATGTTGAATTGGAATAATGATGAGACTTGAAAAAGACTTGATTGACCGATGTCGACAGACACTTGTCGGTAAGAGTGATTTGACAACTGGACGTACTGGACGAGCATTTTTGACCCAGAAACTGTGTGCGGCCACTCTGAGGCTGCTGGTTTGACCATGGTTGCTTGGGTTGTACATGGTACTGAAAATCCTTTTTGACCCGAACCTTTGCAAAGGCTATTGTTTGTTTGTAGGTTCCATCGAGTCTTGGAGTTGACGAGGCAGAGAACCGTATGAAGGTTGTGAGAATATTTGTAATAGCTGACGACATGATGGTCATTGTTGTCGTAGCAAATGATAAAAGTGGTGGCCGCAGGAATCGGTCAAGTGAGAAAGCCATGTGTTTGATGGTCGCCACAATTGTCACATTGTATGGAAAGTCTCATGATGAATGGTGGCCATGGTGGATGGTGGTTGCGGTAACGATCAAGATGGAAAGACTCGTGGTTGATGGAAGGCTCAGTGGATGTTTAATATTGGAAGACTCATGGTGGTAGGTCAGGATGGAGAGGCCTATGATTGATGCTGACCGTTGTGGATGGCCGAGATGGAAAGTCTTATGGAAGGTGGTGGTCACAGTAGTCACAGTAGATCGAAAGTCTCATTGTAAACGGTCAAGGCGAAAGTGGTCAAAATGGATGATTTGTCATTTTTGGGAGGTGGTTGTCATAAATGGTCGGAAGGATGATTATTATGGTAGATAATAAAGAATTTTGACTGTCAAAATGTATGTCGAAAATGATTTTTTCATGGTGAATAACTTTTTGAGAGGAGTGAGTCTCAGATGGTTGATGTTGTTCTTGATGGTGTAAGGTTTTGATAGATGGTTTTTGGTAGATGAGAGGCCACATGGAAGGCCACAATGATTTTTGATGTTGGTATTGATGTTGGATGGTGTAAGGTTGCGATGGATGTTTCTTGGATGGATGTTTCTTGGATGGATGTTTCTTGGATGGATGTTTCTTGGATGGATGTTTCTTGGATGGATGTTTCTTGGATGGATGTTTCTTGGATGGATGTTTCTTGGATGGATGTTTCTTGGATGGATGTTTCTTGGATGGATGTTTCTTGGATGGATGTTTCTTGGATGGATGTTTCTTGGATGGATGTTTCTTGGATGGATGTTTCTTGGATGGATGTTTCTTGGATGGATGTTTCTTGGATGGATGTTTCTTGGATGGATGTTTCTTGGATGGATGTTTCTTTTTGGATGGATGTTTCTTTTTGGATTGGTGTTTTTTGGTAGATGAGAGGCCAGACGGAAGGTCATAATAATTTCTGATGTTGGATGGTGTAAGGTTGCGATAGATCTTTCGATTGAATGTTTCTTTCGATTGAATGTTTCTTTCGATTGAATGTTTCTTTTGAATGGATGTTTCTTTTGGATGGATGTTGCTTTTGGATGGGAGGCCAGATCAAAGGCCAAGATGATTGTCATGAGAATTGTTTGGTGGAAGAGAGGCCAGAAGCAGAGGTCAGAATGGTTGTTGTGGTGGATAGTTGGTCTGCCGATTGTCCTGAAGCTGTGAAGCCCGCCACGGTCAGACTGGTGGAATTGGTTGATTGAGGTGGTTGATTGAGGTGGTTGATTGAGGTGGTTGATTGAGGTGGTTGATCGAAGTGGATGGTTGAGGTGGTTGGTTGGTCTGCCGATTGTCCTGAAGCTATGAAGCCCGCCACGGTCAGACTAGTGGAATCGGTTGATCGAGGTGGTTGATCGAAGTGGGTGGTTGTTTGGTGGACCAGTCTGCCGATTGTCCTGAAGCCGTAGCCCGCCACGGTCAGACTGGGGGAATCGGTTGATTGAGGCGGATGATTGAGGTGGATGATCGAAGTGAATGATTGAGGTGGTAGGTTGGTCTGCCGATTGTCCTGAAGCTGTGAAGCCCGCCACGGTCAGACTGGTGGAATCGGTTGATTGAGGCGGATGATCGAGGTGGTTGATCGAAGTGGGTGGTTGTTTGGTGGACCAGTCTGCCGATTGTCCTGAAGCTGTGAAGCCCGCCACGGTCAGACTGGTGGAATCGGTTGATTGAGGTGGTTGATCGAGGTGGTTGGTCGAGGTGGTTGAAGTGGTTGATTGGCGGTATCGGTGGTTGATGGACCAGTCTGCCGATTGTCCTGAAGCCGTAGCCCGCCACGGTCAGACTGGTGGGATCGGTTGATTGAGGTGGTTGATCGAGGTGGATGATCGAAGTGGGTGGTTGTTTGGTGGACCAGTCTGCCGATTGTCCTGAAGCCGTAGCCCGCCACGGTCAGACTGGTGGAATCGGTTGATTGAGGTGGTTGATCGAGGTGGATGGTTGAGGTGGTTGGTTGGTCTGCCGATTGTCCTGAAGCTGTGAAGCCCGCCACGGTCAGACTGGTGGAATTGGTTGATTGAGGTCAGGAGAGGTTGATGGTTGCTCGAAGCACCTCATGGATGGTGGTCATGGCGGATGGTGGTAGTCAAGACGAAAGGTTGGTCAAGATGTTAAGTCCAAAGGTGGAGAGGATCATTACCGCGGTTGGTACCATCATCGCATCAGGCCTCCAAGGTTGTTTGTTCTAGGAAACAGTCAACACACGCAAGACTGGGGGAAAGGGATGCATGTTATCGTAGTTGGTTGTCACCATGGGTGGTGACCAAGATGAAAGACCAAGATTGTTGTGATGGTGATGGTGGGCACGGCAAAAGCACAGTGGACTGTCATGGTTGATAGTCATGGTTGGTGATCAAGGTCACAGTGGACTGTCATGAAAGGTGACAGGTGGTCAAGGTAGAAAGCCATGTTGAGTATCAATGGCGAATGCCCAAGGCCACAATGGACCGTGGTCATGGTCAAGGTCAAGATAGATGCCAAGGTCATGATGGATGTTCAAGATGAAAAGGCCCATAGTCCAGAGTCGTCACCGTGGATTGTCCCACCATCAACCTAAAGGCAAGCTAGTATGAGTCCAACCAGGGGGGGAGAAGGGAAAATATTATTCTATGTTTATTATATTGAACAAGGAAGGAACTAAAAATAAGTAAGCATATTGTTAGTTGTCACGTGGGGATGGGGGAATATTATGGTGGATAGACCATGGTGACTGGAGACCATGGGGAAAGCTGAGAAGCAGCGGGGAGATGAAGAAGGAAGAAAAGAAAAGAGAAAGAAAGTGGGAGGGGGGAGGTATTTATATTCCTCCAGTGGCTGAAGGCAATGGGGGAACTGGGGTAGGTGACGACGTTCCCAAATAGGAAGGAACGGTATGAGTTCCTGCCTATTGCTCTTGCACATGTCACCATGGTGACTGCATATACGTCTCACGTGTCTTGATGCCCATGTCTCATGATATATGGGGGAGTTGATACACACAAGGTTCAGTCTACCTTGGACCATGATCCCGAAACTAAACTTATGTACCTTGGGTCTAGAAGTATACAGTAAACGCATTATGATCAGCTCAATCAACAGTGTCTACTCAGCATCTAGCCTGAACCCCACCATTCCATCCATCTCTCCATATCGTCAGCTCCAATCTCATCTCCCTCAGTAAAAGGCTCAACAGGCATTTTGCTGCGATGAGATCCGGTCTTTGGGTTTCCAAGATGATGATTGCCGACTCAGGCTCTCCGTATGCCGGGCAAAAGCAAAGAATAAGAGACCGTCAATCAAAGATGACAACCCAAGACTCAATGTCCCGTATGGCGTCCAAGTGTTTCGCAGACTCAGCTTGAACTTGACCCGGCATTTCGTACCAACCGGCGCTGGGGGGGACTTACTAGGAAACTACTCGCAGAACCCTGGCTGTCACATGGGTATGTCCCCGAGGCTACAGATTCAAGGCTAACTATTCCCAAATACCGTCACATTATCAGTTCAAGGTTCATTGCACCACCTTTAGAGTCCCAGTTTACGAACGAAATGTCGGATCGCCAACCTTGTCTCTAACAACTTCTGCGGATACCAATATCCAAGCTCCAGACCAACGCAACTATGGAGACGCTTCACCTTCCACATCAATCAACGAACCGACTAAAACCCCGAGGAAGCTAGACGTTACAACAAACTCATCGGGAGAAAACGATCTCACAGAATGTCGGGTTAGCACAGGTGACAAGTATCAAGTGGAGAATAGTGTTTTGTTGGTGAAATAGGTATGCCTGCGAGTCTATGCGCTTGAATTGCGCCGGCTGGACGAGAAATACGATGCGACTTACCAATGTCTCTCTTTTGGTCAAAGCAGATATGCTCTAAGTGCACATGTTCTATGGTCTACGCCAGTTGCCAGCGTCTGTCGATTAAAATATCTTTATCTGGATGCTGCTCTCCACAGCAAATCGAATTGCTAATCTCTTGATGAGCTGCATCCCTTACAACGTCTACACAAGAGATGACAGAGACCAGATACTCGAAGCCACTGCATCTGCCATTGATGTGGTGTATTGCCTCACCATCGGTCAGCACGGGGGCCAAGATCGCGAACCTCATGACCTTATCGATGTTTTCCAAAAGATTTCTCAACAACACCCGGATGATTCATACCTCACTTCACTGGTGGATTGCGCTTTCCAGTCTTCAGGCTCCGAAGGTGGTTCTGGAGGAAGCGTAAGTGCGGAAAATGGGCCGACTGGTTGAGGGGAAGGTCTACCTACCAGTCAACGAATATGACGGCTTTGATCATTGTGACTTTTCTATCTCGGATTGGGAATTCGGAGAGGTGGTTTTGCTGTTGTTGCTGATAGTCAGACCTCGCAATAGCTTGATATAAACTACAGTATTCTTGCTACTCCATGTGGTACAACAAGTCTCCCAAATAATGTAAATCAAGTAATATAAACTTCAAGACTATATCAACCTATATCGAATTCTCCCCACGAAGTCTCATCATTCCAAGAGCACCTAGTCAATACCCTTGAAAACCTCATCAAAGCGCAACTCATTCCAGCGCACATTTGGCTTCAAGCCAGCGAACTTCCAGATACCGTTGACCTTACGGTAGTAATGTTCATTCGTAGCATGGGAGTGACCACGCAACTTGACAGTCTCCAAGGCCTCAGTCTCGTAGACTTGGTGACCCGCACGCAGCTGGTGGTGACCGATAACCTCAGTGTCGGAGACCTTTTCCCACCATGTCTGGCCAAGCAAATGTTGGGTCTTGATAGTCTTGTCACCCAGGAAACCGGGGTGGCTGACCATAGCCATATAGTCGTCAGCGGCCATATTGTCCCATTTCTTCAGTCCGATTTTCGTGTAATCGACCTTCAGGGTTGGGGCGATGATGCTGCGTAGGCGGTCCCAGTCCTGGAATCCTGTCAGTACTGATGTCGACCTAATTCCTGGTGGGAAACAATATGTACCTTTGCATCGTAGCTGTCTGCCCAGTCGAAAACGAGTTTTGAGAGGATGAGGTAGTCTGTTGATGTTAGTACAAGCAGATGAATGAGAGTGGTCAAAACAGACCTTGGAAGCTGATGTCCAAGTTAGGCTCAGCAGTGTTGTTCTTTACAGCAGGAGACATGGTTGTCCAGCAATGTTTTATTTCTGTGAATAGTTTGAGCTCTGATTATAGCTGCAAAGAGTACCGTGCGATTACATCAAAAGTTCACTTCCACCAGGCTTCCCTGAAGTAACATTCCCCAGATCTGACCAGCATATTTCCCATGCACGGGATAACAATGTAACCCTTCCAATGTGACAGATGGTGGAGACAAACCCTCATGGCCTTCCGCATGCAGTACAAAGCTCAGCCAAGACAATATTGAGTCATTGTGCGCAAGCAGCTACCCTGCTTTTGGGACCTGCTTAATGCTGGGGGCCTGTTTTAATGCCTTACCGACAGATTCGGAAACAAGGCCCAGCCTCTGCAACAGGGATGAATGATGAAGCCAAGCCATCTGGCTGATTCCAGCCAGGGGCCTGGTCTAACTATTCATAATACCAAAGTCAATATTAGACTACAGTTCCCACCCCCAGCATGATCCCACACCCCCCTCATTTACAACAATTCACTCCTGAGCTTCATCATCACCAAAATGGTCAACCCCAACCCCAACCCCAGCTCCAACCTCGAGCTCGCCGGCAAAGTTGCCCTAGTGACCGGCGGTGGTCGAGGCATCGGAGCCGGCATTGCACTCGAGTTAGCTAAGAAGGGCGCAAGCGTAGCAATCAACTACGCCAGCAGCTCCAAGACCGCCGATGGGGTGGTACAGGAGATTCAAGCACAAGGCGTCCACGGCGCCGCATTCCAAGCCGACCTGACGAAGGTCGAGGAAATCGAGCAACTCTTCCGTCAGGTGGTCTCACACTTCGGACAGCTGGATATTGTCGTGTCAAACGCGGGAACGGAGAAATTCGTACCATTATCCGAGACGACACTGGACGACTTCAATGCAGTGTTTGATCTCAACACTCGTGCACAGTTCTTCGTCGCGAAGAACGCCTACGATCACATCCAGCCCGGCGGACGTGTTGTGCTGATGTCGTCCATTGCAGCGGGCCTGGGTGTTCCGGGCCACTCGCTTTATGCGGGTAGCAAGAGCGCTGTGGAGGGATTCACTCGTTGCTTTGCTGCTGACTTTGGCAAGAAGAGGGCTACTGTTAATGCTATTGCTCCTGCTGGTGTCAAGAGTGATATGTGGTTGAGCAACGCGTGGCGTTATGCGCCTGGCTGTGACCAGAACTCTTCTATTGAGGAGATCGAGCAGGCACTTGCCAATGGCAGTCCCCTTGGGCGCTGTGGTGTGCCTGCAGATATTGGCCGCATTGTGGCATTCTTGGCTAGTCCGGGTGGAGAATGGATCAATGGTGAGTACTGGAATGGTTGAGTTACCCCCTAGGAATATTGCTAACCCCTTGCAGGTCAGATTTTGCCTTGCAATGGTGGAGCTAACATCTAATTGACCTTCAATTGGAGTATGATATTGAATCGGAGATGTTGGTTATTGGTTTTGTATTCAATATCATTTCAGATGACCCTGGGAACCATGTATAGGATCAGGGCAATCACCATTTGAATGATGCGTTGTTCTTGTTTCACTATCACGTACTGCGCTGCTTTCTATATATCAGAATGAAATGCACTTCAATGACAATCATCTACCATTTGACGACAAGTTCACTTCAGACCTACGAACTACTTAGGGCTACAGAAGGAAGCGGACACCAAAGGGCCAGAAACCGAGAAACCGAGAAGCCGAGAAGCCGAGAGGGTGATCGAGTATTGAGACATGTCGTGCTGAGACATCTCATAATTCATTATGCATCCCTTTCCCCGCCGCCTCGACTGTCACCCCCCGCATCCGGCAATCTTCGAGGCAGCCCCATACCCTGCCAGGGTCACATTCGGCAGATCCGTGCCGATCAGGTATCATTCAGGGCATGTGGCAACAACAGCCTACTGTTTTCGTCTCAATAGACATCATCTGCCTTTCTTTTTCGCGTGTGGTAGATGCTACCAGCGAATATAGGCGATGGAAAGCAAATTAAAAGAGTGCGACATGTCTCAAATCTGTAGTTGAATAAAGAAAGGCTCTCAGTACAACATAGACAATATCAAACCCATCAATTCACTTCATTAATAACTCTCTCAACATGGTGCCTTGGATTCTTGGAGACAAGTTCGACACTGTCTACCCTCACCAGGGTTCGATCAAGGTCCTATGGGAGTCAAAATGGAAGTTCTGCGTACGTCCCTCGCCCAACAATAAGATATGACCCAGTAACCTAACATGGATGATTCACCAGGCCACGAAATCCATCTATCCGTTCCACGATGGATCCGTGGAGGACTTTGAGCCTATTTTCCAAAAGCTAATCGCTGTAAGCATCTCTCACATCCCATCCCAACCTACCCCACTAACAACAACAGGAAAACATCAACAACGCAGACACAGACGCCTACACCGAAGCCTTCCTCCCAACAGCAACAGCCCTAGAGAACGAAGCTGTCAAAGCCTTCAACAACGGCCACCTCGACCGCGCAGCAGACTTCTACCGCCGCGCAGCAGTCATCCTCCGTATCTCGCGCTTCCCCTACGTAAGCCCCTCAACACGCCCAGAGACATCCATCAAGCGCGCCGCCTTCGAGCGCCAGAAGCAAGTGTACCTGAAAGCCGCCTCGCTATGGAAACCCATCATTACGGAGGAAGTGATTCCCCACACGCACCGCGCCGGCCGCGACGGCCCCTCAATCCCAATGTATATCCGACTACCTGAGGAAGCAAGCGCCACTAACCCCGTCCCTGTCGTCCTGCTCATGACCGGACTCGATGGCTACAGGCCGGATAACAGTCAGCGCACCCACGAGATCATCAATCGTGGCTGGGCGACGGTTGTCGTTGAGATCCCAGGTACGGCGGACTCGCCTGCGGATCCGGCGGACCCTGAATCGAGTGATAGACTCTGGAGCAGTGTGCTTGATTACATGGAGCGACGACCGGAGTTTGATATGTCGCGGGTCGCGGCTTGGGGACTTAGTGCCGGTGGTTTCCATGCGATTCGGGCGTCTTGTACGCACCGCGAGCGTCTTATCGGGTGTGTTGCTCATGGACCTGGTGCGCACTATGTCTTTGACCCCGATTGGTTGGCTAAGGCGAATGATCATGAGTATCCATTCAAGTGAGTTTTGACTGAGTTTGTGTTTTGTTAAGTGAGGTACTAACCATGACGATAGCCTTACTTCCGCTATGGCGGAGAAGCATGGCTATGACAATGAGGCGGAGTTTGTGAAGAACGCTCAGAAGAAGTTCTCGCTCGTGGAGACTGGTATCCTTGACCAGGAGAACTGCCGATTGCTTCTGCTCAACGTAAGTATTCCCGTTGGGAGTTGCGAGAAGACAAAGCTAATTGCTTCTAGGGTGTGGATGACGGCGTTGTACCGGTTGAAGACTGCCTGGTGACTCTCCGACATGGCAGTCCTAAGGAAACTCGGCTCTTCGAAAACAGGGTGCACATGGGATACCCTGACAGTCTGCCTGTGGCTTACAAATGGTTGGAGAGTGTGCTGTCTCCCAATGCGAAGGAGGTGAAGAATTGAGTGGGTTTAAGGGTTTCTACCGATGTATTCTGTGTTCTGCTTGAGATAATCAGTCTTTAGAATCGAATCATAATTATACATGTGGCTTGATGAGCTTGATTTCACCTAGAATACATAGGGTACCTGACTTGCATGTTCATAGAAATTGATGCGACAGAACAATAGCAGTGTCAGGCAAAAGACAAGGTATTATCTACAATAGAGCCTGAGGCAGCGAGGCAAAAGGATGCCCTTCCACTTTGGGAAGGTACGTGAGAGGTAAGGATATAAAAGGCTTCTCCCCGTCTTTCTTCCTCTTCTCTTCTTCTTCTCTTTCTCTTCTCTTTCTCTCTTCACCCCTCGACCCCCATCTCTCCGTAGCCCACCTGAGATCGTGTAGAGGGTTGTGCCTTACTTACACACAACGTGGATATCAACATGACCAAGTTGTTGAAGTCCATGTGTAGGTCCGTGCCCACATCAAATTGAGAGTTCTCGTGGATGTTGTTTGACAAAGTCAATGGCTGAGCTTGGGGCTCAGTAGCCATTGACAGGTCCCACGGAATACATGAGGGGGCCATTGAGACAGCCTCCTTGCCCAGTATGCATCTAGCTATGTGTTACCAAGACAATCTTTCAGACACGTAAGTTGCATCACTACTTGTGTAAAAGTCATCTCAATCATGTACACATTTATTAGAAAGATAGCAATCTAGATCAACATGGTTTTTATTGGTAGCTGTAGATGAAATGTAATTTCTCATTTCACAAAAACAAGCTTGATTGACTCGCTTCGATTCGATTCCCCTTTGTGAATAAGATAGTAGGAATCACACTGCCAGAAACGCCCGCAATGCATTGAGGATATTTTTCCGATACCCGTGAAAAGATCACGAGAGAACATAAACACATATGGAAGAAAAATTAGCAAAAATGGATTTATTCGTCGTCGACCCTCGGGCGTTTCGACTTGCGGTCATCACCCTCAGCTTCCTGGATTCCATAACGCTTCTGGCCCGCAGTCACATCGGCAATCATGTTGTCAATGCCAAATGGATCAGCAGTGTCCTTCTCGAATTGGACAGGACCTTGGCGCTCCTATAGAATAAGTGATTAGCGACGAAAATTCAATGTACATAAGAAAGAAGCTTACCTCGGCTTCAGCAGCGCCACGGAATCCCTCCTTGGCACGACCCAGGACCTCGAATCGCTTGGTCTTTTCAAGCCTGCTCATCTCGCCTTCGCCTGCATCTTCGTCATCGGCATCAGCTTGGGCACGTGGACGATAGATGCTGTTGATGGCGTCCTGCGCGGCGAACAGCGGCTTGTCGTAAGGGTTATCTTCATTGAAACCAGACTGCATGCCACTGGTCTGATTGAACAAACGCGAGTCCCACATAGATTCAGAGCTCTGCGTAGGCTTGGCCAGACCAAGCGCGACCTTCTCGGAGATATCACGGTTCTGTTCTCGGGCCATGGCTTGAATGCGACGCTCCGTGCCCATGCGAGACTGGCGCAGCTGTCGTTCATCTTCGCGGCGTCGCTCGCGGCGCTGCTCTGCGCGGTCTCGGGCGGCTTCGTCATCTTCACTGGGGGTAGCTGATCTGGAGGAGTAGACACTGCGGCTGGCACTTCGGGAACGGGAACGAGCTCGAGACACGCGAGCGCTGGGGCCAGCACGGTCCTCACGAGCCTTTTGCGCCAACATCCGAAGATGCTCCTCCTTCTGTGCCTTCTCCTTCTCTGCCAACTTCTGCTGCATCTGAGCTCGGAGCTGCACCTCTTCACGCGCGTGCCGATCTGCCGTAAACAAAGCTTCCGCAAACTGGGCAAATTTATCGTTGATTGAGACATCTTGTAGTCCGCGACCATCTGCAGCCAAACGCTTGTCCAAAGGCACGGTGTAACCCTTGGGATTCTTCCAATTCGACACAGGTGGGGGAATCTTCCAAGCTTCTTGATCCTCCGCAGTGAGCTTCCTAGGTGGCGAGTGCATAACGGGAGGAGGCGGGGAGGGCGGGCCACGGGGAATCTTCTTGTGCTTAAACTTGGGCGGCTCCATAGGATCCAGCTGCCTCTCGACAATCTTCATAATGCGATCATTTTGGCGGCCAGTGTTGCCCATCTGGTTGGCCGGAGTGTATCGAACAAAAGTTGGCTCTGCTCTTTGTCCGCCCTTGACGTTCTTCGGTTTCTGCGCCGACGAAGCTCCTTCGACCAAAGTCTGAAGCGCAGCCTTTGTCTTCTCCATCTGAGCCTGAATCTCCTCCTCAGACGGCTTATCCAGCGATATCTCTCCCATATCCACCCGCTGTCGGAGCGGGATTAAATCCTTGAATGAGGCATGGACGGTGCGGTTATCGGCGTGTCCGCGGCGGGCGATCGCGTCGTACTTGACTTTGCCTTCAGCATCGACCTGAAGAGCAAGCGCATTTGATTTTGACTTTCCCTTTCGGCCCATGTCGAGGGGGTACTGTGCGACTAGAATCTCAGGGAACGCGCCGCCGTCACCAAAATCCTCGGGGGCGCGAGGTCGCCATCCTGCACGGTTTCCATAGGGCGGGGGTCCAGTCCTCTGGAAGATAAGATGAGTTAATTTTGTGCTTATATATCAATAAAATAATTCACAACTCACCCGTAAGACAACTTGTGTTTCATCAATCTGGTCGGCGCCAACCACGCGCGGACCACGGGGTTGCGCATGCTGTGGCAACTCCTCCTCCTCGCCAGTGTATTTTGGTTTGGGGAGGGACTTGAAAAGTCCCGAAGCAATCGAGGTCGACATTTCAAGAGTGAGCAACTCAAGAGCTGTGCACTCGTGGATGATGAGAGGAGAGCATGGAGTGACGCTCCATTTGGCTTTTCTGGACAAATTGCGTGGCTGGTTTGTACGGACTACCGTATCCCAATATGCCAAGACCTCTGACGTTGAGCAACAATCTACACGAGGCTGGCTCGTTTCACACTCGGGCACGATGATGATATTATTATACTAATTACTATTAGAAAGCTTTCGGGTATTCGAATGCTCTTATCAATAGCTGAGAAACCCCTCCATACCTACAAATACAAGAGACAGTAAAACTATAAGAATGGAGCTTGAAATAGCAAGTCGCTAATGAACGACTAAATGGTATAATTACATGGCAACAAAGGCTTTTCACCTTCAGAGGAGTCTAGATATACTCACTCATTGGATATGAAGTGGGTACGCATGGGGCATGCAATGTCCTCTTTATCGCCTGCCTCGACGAAATGATCGCGCCCCTGGAATCTATACCAGATCTTCAATCGTTTGGGTAGCAAAGGCGCAGGATCATGGAATCCCAAGATTTGGAACTAGACAAATCAAAATTAGTATCCCGCTCCTAAAGATAATGGCCAATTGAAGGCCTATTTCCTGACTTACCTTGATAGTCTTGCCGGGAATCACCAATTGACCCCGGTTAACTAGCGCAGCCACAGGGATAGTGACATCAATCACCCTCGGCTCCGCGAACCCATGTTTGGGTTTCTTGTTTACTGGCGGTATATAACCATACTCGGCCTTCAAGATGACCAGACCTTCTTGTGCTTCCTCTCGGGCTTGCCGCCTTTGCACTTGATCCGTCATGAGCTCGATGGCCTGGAGACTCTCTTCGCGTTTCTTAGGGATCAATTTCGTGAGCTCACGGTGGCGTCGAGCAGCTGCCTGTCGACGGAGTTTCCTATCGCGCGGGCGAATATAACCGAATTCAATCGCACAGTAGGCCAGCCAAGGGAATATAGCAGTTAGCGCTGCAGCGCCGCTTGTCGACTCATTAGCCGGGCAAACATTGATCGGAATGTTAATTTGTTGGCCAAGTCGACTCCATGAAACTGTCATCATGATACCCTTGTCCGCGATGCCAACGCCGAGACCAACACGCGTGTACTCGCCAACGCGACGAACACCCTTGATGGTCCAATTAAGAGACATGTCTAACCCAACAACGCTTGAGATCTCGAGTCGCACAGCACGCGCCTGATCCATGCTCGGCATCGGGAAGTATCCTTCAGAGCTCCATTCAGTCTTGACGGGATCATCGGCAGGTTTTCCAGAGAAGAGGTTGCGGGAATAATTCAGAACGAAAGCTCCTCCGGCAGGAGTGGCCTGCAGATATGTCTGCCACGACTCGGCAGATTGGTCAATTTGGCGTTTTTTCTTGAGAAGATGACGGACGTCCTCTTCCATTTCTCCAGACTCTTCCTCATCGTCATCGTCGAAATCGATTGCGGCTTGGCCCTGGTTGGGGAGCGAGATTAGGCCAATTTGCAGATTACTGACCTCGTTGGCAGATGCAATGGCACTCTGGGCACTCATTCCAAGTGTTGGTAACCAGTTGAGAAAGAATTCGGGCCAGTTAACAACGCCACTGGACCATGTAATGACGCCAATCTTCCTCTTGGCAATTTCCCTCGAAACTTGAACCTCGAAAGAAGGTAGCGTTTCATCCAGGGACCGCGTGTGTATACTGGTCGCGCTGACCTGGAATGGCTTGGTGCCGGGGATTGGCTGGAAAGCTCGAGCAATGTTCGCTTTCAGGGTTGGGACGGGGAGAAGAAGGGCACTGAGGGTGACTTGGGAATCTTTGAGGAGCGAGAAAGGATGTTTAGCCCAGATTCCCTTGGTGCCGACCAGGTTTTTAAAATTGGGAGTCACAGTGGCCCCAAATTGGAAGTTCTGAGCTGCCAGGATGGGTGGCATTTGGAACTGCAAAATGGTTAACGAGATTTCGAGATGCAAACTTGCAGTACATCCTACCTTTTCTTCTCCTTCCGTCCCATCCTCGTACTCGACTGCGATTTTCTTGACCGGGCGAGCCAAACCTCCAGTTATACCCGCATTGAAAGTCAACTGCATGTCCTCTGGTTCCTCTTCTTGCACATCTTCTCCTGAATCTTTTTCCTCGCCCGAGTTTTCTGCTTCGTTCTCAGTCGTACCCCAAAGCTGCGGTAATGACACCGGCGTCTTGAAATTATACGAAAGACCATATGTGGACACTTTCGGTGAAGGTATATGGAACTGCACATCTTCGTCCTCGTCAACTGAAACCATTGTCGATGCATTGATGCCCAGGGTAATACCACCCTAAGGTAAGACCAATTAATGTCAGCAGCAGCCCAATGATTCGCACCAATTCCCATGGGTGGAAGAATCACTACTGAAAATACATACCTTGCTGGAAACCAGACTCTCGACCGCTTTCCGCTCCCGTTTCTTCATCGTCTTCAAGAACCAGCGCCGGAACTGATCCGGCGACATCGCTTTGACACCAACATCCTGTCGTTGTGCTTCCCCACCAATTCCCATGGCCCCAAGCTGACCCCATTCCTGCCGCACACCCGCCGCACCAGATATATCATATACAATGCGCTTATTTGGATCAATGAGGGTCTCATATGCCTCTTGGATATGTCTGAACTGGCTCTCCGCGGCATGGCGGAGATGCGGCGGCTGCTTATCGGGGTGGAAGCTAAGGGTCAGGTTGCGGTAGGCGGATCGGATCTCGGCGTCTGTCGGGGGAGGATTGCGTGCAAGACCCAGCAAGGCGTAATAGTCGGGTCCCTCTGGGTAGTCGCCGACCATGCTATAGTCAGCGTCGAGTCCGTCATCTTCCACCGTCGCACGAAACTCCTGCGCCCCGGGGAACTCCTGCCCGGAGGATTGGTTGAATGAGGTCATGAGATATTTCTGCGCACTCTTTTGTGTTATTTATATATATCTATCCCCATTTTGGGGTGGTTGGGTGAAATGCGACAGTGCAATGAAACAAGGTGCTCGAGTGGAGAGAATTGGAAATTCCGGAGAAACCTTCCGCATCTCCGTTGGAATCCCTTAGATGTGTTATAGTGGAGCATTGACTGGAGTATGTAACGCCATTGTTTGTAGTAGTCTAGTTTCATCCTTTTTATTTGAAACTATGCCGACTCCATAGAATCTGAAAGATCGTTAGAAACACAATGCCTTTGTTCTCGAATGCCCGTGACTCGACTCCTATTGGCTTAAGGCCAAGTTAGTACAACCTGTTAGTATTGGTATCGGCATTGGCATTACAACGTCCCATTCTAAATGCAGTATATAGAGGCGTGGGAGTTTTCTTTTGATCCCAATTGCGACAATGGGTGATACATTGAAGATGCCCACAAGGTACAAATACGGTGTACATAGTCCATCTCCACTCAATGGGGCTGAGCAAGTTATAGAGCATGTTCGTCAAGACAATCTTGCAGCTCAGCCTGGATTGTTCTCAAGCCAGTTGCAGTGGCGATCTTCCTGTATATCCAATGAGATTCAATCCGAAGCATTAAATCTGTGGGTAGCCGGGGTTGATACCCCGATACTTTGCGATTGTCGGTGCAATCAATAAGAGTAGAGGAAAGCCCGCCAATACATGCCAAGGGCTCGATTATTAGGAGTCTAAGGGAAATCCCAAAAATAAGGCTACTGATACTCAATCAGCTAAAATACCCAACTGAAGCTAAAGATACCTCGTTGGTACCTGATGTAGCATGCACGGATGATCAGCATAGAATCACTTGGCAAACTATGCCACGTCGACCGCAGACCTCCTCTTCAACATATATCAGCCTAACAGAGTGCAAATTGAACCATTATAAGGTAGATGTCGAGTGTCGATCTAGATCTACGCTACGCGCGCACAAGGCAACAACCCGGTGAACATCGTATCGTGTAACTCATAAGTACGGGATAAGCCCCCCCCGGTATACTCCAAGTCATCAACTCCTATAAAGCCTCAGCTCCAAAGACTGACCGACCTGCAAACCCAACTCCTTAATTCAACCTCCCATCCTCTCCAGCCCTGGATCCAACCCCAATGATCAATCCATCAGCAATGACCACCCGCTTAAAAGAACTGAGCGCGCAGCAACCCCCAGTATTCAGAATTAATCTCTCACACCCACCAGAAGAGCGCTACACAGCACTCGCCCATCTCTACAAAGACCGAATGCGCTCCGTAACCAGCATATTCGACGACGTGATCCACAACCTCTCCCCAAACATCCCCACAAAACCAATTCACTGGCTCGCCCGTCTATTCCTACGCAGACTCTACACAGATGAAGAAACAGCCGAGATCCGCGGCATTAGTCGCGTAACCGGAATCCCCCTTTACCTCCTAATCTGTCTGAACGTGGTTCTCGATCTATTAATGGGCTGCACGAGTGGCGGTGTACGAATGCTCGACGGACTCTGGACACGAATGGTCCACTTCCGGACCCTAGACTGGGGAATGGATCCATTACGCTCGCTAATCGTACAACTTGAATTCGTGCGCGACGACGCGCCGGATAAAGTGCTCGCCACGTGCATCACGTACGTTGGGTTCGTGGGGATTCTCACGGGTGTGCGGAAAGATCTGAGCGTTTCGCTCAATTTCCGGGCTGTGCATGATTCCCGAAGGAATGTGGGGTTTTATTTTAACTATCTGCTTGTTTTGCTTGGTTTGCGACAATCCATCACGTCGTTGTTAAGACAGTGTCTTCTTCCCAGTATGGAGGCAGGAATGACTAAACTTTCGAGTACTTCGACCCTGGAGGAGATCCTGGATGAAGTGCCTTGCTTGCGTACGACGGCTGCGTACCTGATTTTCTGTGATGGGAATAGCATTGTTGCGATGGAAAAGGACTACGAGACTGCGTTTTGGCGCAGGTCGAGTTCTTTCCTTATCAAGACCAACCACGATGAGGATACCAGTTCGGTCATGGATGAGGCTATCGCGAGGGATAGGGGCTATACGGGTCTGCGGGTGGCGGATGGTATGCAAAGCATGGCTGAGATTATCGAGGAGAGTAGAGAGCGGCAAGCGTCGATGCAGGAAAAATGGGATCGCAGGGTGCAGGATCATGGGTTCTTTCAACAACAGCTTAAAAAGCGGAAAATTAAGAATGCTGCTGTTCCCCGTTCACAGTCAGTCCATTTGACGTGGAAACGGAATACGAAGGTCGGATGGGAAGATGGTGCGTCTGAAGTGTCGGTTACGCTTGGGACAGTGCTTGGGTGGCTTTGCTCTGACCCAATTGTGAATGACGATACTCATTATGCTGTGTTGATGGATCCGGCTGAAGGCAGATTTATTTATTCCGGTCAGTTTCCAGCTCCGGTATCATGATAGCATTCTGGATGATTTTGTACAAATAACATAATGACCTTTTCTTTATCCCGACCATTGTCTTCCAAGCTTGATAGATATAAGTACATGAGCAGATAGCAGCAGCAGAGCGCTCAATGACACAAAAATGGCAGAAAATAAATTATATACTATAATGTACAAATGTAGAAATTATGAAACTCTGCTCAAAGATAGGTAAATGAGTCGAGTCATGTAGGTCAGTCCCATTTATACATGGCAACAGTATCCTCAGTCAGCCAAGCCGCCATCATTATTGAAGTGCATCCATCTCATCGTAACAGAATGGTAGAGGATAAGGCCCCCTCGCCACTGCAAGGGCATCCACCATCTCCAAAAGATCAATCACGTCGTCAAGCCAAATTTGGAACTCGATGAGAGGATGCCAAAAGGAAGAGAAAAATCTCATGGATCTCTAATCCAAGCTATCCCCCTCTCAGAGATGAGCGTCTCATCGAGCCGTAAAGCATTTAAAAGTACCTCTCTGGGCATCAATCCCGTAAAAAGATCCTCGCCCATTGCCGCAGGCGGATGAGAATGCAAAGCACCAGCATGAACCTTCGTTTCAAGCGGGGGTCCATCAAGCGCAAAGCCCAATTTATCAGCAAAGACACTGCGCTCATTCAGACAGTTGATCATCAGAACCAGTCGTCTGTGAAGGACAGTGACTAACTGCAGAGAGCCATCCCAGTATCGGCCGAGCTCGTGAACAGTATCTAGTGCACCCCTGATATAAGAGATGCACTCATTCAACTGCGACGCCAGACCAGCGGAGCTGAGAACGTCCACGGCTGATAGAATAACGTAACCGAGGAATGGATTCAGGAGGGCTAGGAACGTGGAAGCTTCTGTGTTGCGGGAAGGGGTGATTTCTTTTGCATATTGGTCGAATGTAAGAGAGATGCGGAGGATTTCAACGGCGTGGTATCGAGCGCGGTGGATGTACTGGCCTAGGATCTCTGGTCTGAGGCTCTGGTACCGGGCGTGTCTGTACAGTTTCATCAAACTGGCATGGTAGAACAAATGAGTCGAGACGAAGGTGTCTGCTTTCCTTTGTCGGATGCTCCGTTCTAGGTTTACGGGTGAGAATGCCAGGTAATCGGGAAGTCGGGTCATCCATTGGTTTGATTTTTGGATGATGGTTGTGTGGAATTCTTCGGCGAGTCGGTTGTATGCTTCGGGGGGCATGTGTGGTAATCGGGTTATGTGCAGGGAGATGTCTCCCCAAATAGCCATGATCTCGATTAAAAAGGCCATTGGGCTTAGAGTGGAGCGATCATCGCCTGTGGAGGCTGGGGTGTGGTTGAGGAATGATTGGAAATAGGGGACCGTCGCATACTGCTGGGTCTCGTAGATTTCTTCTCGGCACGGAAGCCTCAGTAGGGCTGCATCTGAGGAGATGAAAGTCGAGGAAGCGGAATAGAGGCTCGAGAAGCGCTGGTGTTTTGTCAGTAACTAGGATCCAGTCTGCAGTCAGGAGTTTTGCGTCTTACATCAAGTACAAAGGCAATCCAAAAGGTTCGCCGTCGGCACTCAATCAAAGCCTGTGGATGTAACCCGTAGTCACACTTCTGGCTTTGATTTACAACAACGCCACCAGATTCCACGTTGTACCGAAGTCCAAAGACCGCTCTTCCAGCTGCGCCTATCGAGTCCCAAGAGCCGACCAGTGACCCCGTAGCGTAGTACCAAAGGCTCATTATGACATGACTCTGAGCAAGTTGCAAAGAGAGGGTATGCTGGCTTCTGTTAATGGCAAAGCGGGCTATACGAGAAAAACGCTTCATGGCTGCCATTTTGTCTAATCTGTCCGAGAACACAGATCCAAGAGCCATCATAGAATAGAGGAGCATCTTGTCGTCTGCAGACTTGGTGTGGTCGGTCTTCAACCACAGGCCAAATTGTCCATGAGGGAACATGTGGTACAGACCGTCATTCACATGCAAAAAGTAACACTCAGTATAGTGAATCGCCGCCTCGGGGTCGCTTTCGTAGGGGTCCAGGTACCATGAGGCCGCGAGGGGGTCGTCTGAGTTGTTTTCCTTGAGTTCCCCCAAAATGTCAGAGTACTCGGGCGAACGAGTAGACTCAATATGTGCCGAGGATCGTCCGACGGTGTCATCCGCACTGGATAAGGACGATGGGAATCGGTAAGATCGGGATCTTAAAGCCCTCTCCGCCTCGGCCATAGTTTCATATGGGGCTTCTTGGCCAGATGGCGTGAGCATCGAGGCCTCTGACATCGGGGAGTGGCTGGTAGTCCCAGGAAGGGAGGTCGCACTGTCCGAGGCTCGAACGCTATCGTAAAGTGACGGAGAACCGTCCAAAGCACCGTGACTGGCGCGGGCGTAAGGATTGCCGGATGAGCCTGTTGATCCTCTCATGAGAGGACGATTCCCCCGCGGGCTTTGAGGAGATTAGCAATGGTTCAAGATAAGTCCGTGGACCCATATTTTGCAGAGATCACGATCACACTTACGCACTTTCGAACCTGCATTCACGTCCAGATTTCCGGCATTGATCACATACGGCC